GCCAAATAGGAGCAAAAAGGCGGGACAATACGCCATGAAATTTGGTCTAGGAGAAGATACACGCCATTCAACATACCTGTTGCTATGACTAACTTCATATTCACAGTGACAGAACAGGTTAGCTTTATTAAATATCTGCAGTTTTGTATGGTCATCGAAAGAATTTGTCTGAGACTCTGCACAGCTGTAGTGGATAAACCGTATCTGAATAAATTACGATTCTGACGAAGGGTGTTTAACATGGTCAATGACTGTACAACAAAGAGACTATAAAACGTTATGTACTGTAGATAACAGACACCTCAATGAGTCAACAATATTTTGTACATTTGTTGCACTGAATTAATATGAATTTCTGATGACCGATTTCACCTATATTTTTGGGCATATCATCATTTTTGGGAAAACGCGATATCTGAGGACAATAAACGTCGTGCTAGAACCTTTCCGTGAGCAGATGTTCGCAGCAATGGCCCAAAATAAGCTTGAATTTTCTAGCGACGTTTAGATCGAGGAGTATAAAGCGATCGGCTCAACCCTACTTACCGACGATGCACCGCAGTTCGCACTGGAGCCTGTTTTCGAAATTATTGCCGTTTCCGCCACAGCCGCTGTAGACGAACGGTTCGCAGGCCGAAACGCTATGGTTAAACCTCCAGCGAGGAAAATGCTCGCTACACTCTCCCCTGTCCAACGGATGCGAGCAGACATCAGCAGGAATGACTGAACGAAAACGAGCGTCAAAGAGGTACATATCGATAGTCGCTTACTTTTAGGCAGACGTATCAGAGGGGTGGTAGTGGTTGCTTGGACGAAAACTGCGGTCGGTGACGTCACAGTCTGTCGACCTAAAAGGGGAAAATTGCATAAGATTCGTAACCTACCTGATTCGAAGTGCGACACGGTACGAGTACTATTATAATTGATAAGCCTGCGATCATATGTTTATGCTAATTTACAGCAAATATGTCTGAAAAATGCAACAAACTCTTCAAGAGGACATGATCCGGTGTCAGGTTGGTAATTTACATTTTTTATTCTTGATGAAGAACCTTCACAAAAATAAGTCCAAAGATAGCAGGTATCTTCAATGCAAACGTTTCAATGCAAAAAATATTCACAAAATCATGACAGGTAAGAATAAACTTATAATTGGCATTAAAAACCCCTGATATTTTTCTGTATATAAATGCCTACGCAGCATTTCGGTAGGTGTTGGAACAGGCTTTTGTTCGGTTCTGCATAGTGATATTTCTAGTGTATAATATAAGGAGTACCAGCTGCTGAATCATCGTTCGTAACGAGCTCTAGAATACAAAATGACCGGAGCATTTGGTACTGCAAGTGCTCAATACTTGGAGCCAAGACCTGTTTATATACCCCTTAGACAACTACGAGCAAGAGGACGATGCGACACATCATGAAACTGAGTGATGGAGGAGTCATTTTTTAGCTAATAACCGGGTTAATTTTTGTCATACGTAGATATTTTCTTGACATTAGTTCAGAATAGCCAAATATAAAATACACAACAACAACAGTAAACCAGTAAAGGGAAATAGTGCCAAGAGTCTGACGAAACATCAGTCGACCTGGAACGCATATATGTGCCGATTTTTTTTATATATCGTAGAAAGATTACTGTGTTTTAGAGTGCCGACTTTCAATAAAACTACAATGGCAATGCGATTCCAAGAAAATAAACCTTATTTTTGCTGACGATGGTGAATACAGTTGGACAAAATAGTGGCACTCATAACTGCAACTGCCATCAGTATGTTTCATTCGGTAGAGCACCCTTGAACTGACAATTTATTGAACAGGAGAGCAATCAAATGAATTTCAGAAACCATTTTGCAATTCTTTTTGAAACTGAAAGCAAACAAATCAAGTCCATATCATGAAGAAAGCAAATAGGCTACTCTAATTGCATGATTTTCAGCATGCAAGACAAAAATTAATTCATCATTTACAACAGATCATACTCTGATGATGACTGACGTCAACAAATCGATTAGTCGACAAATCTAATCCATAAGGGTAAAGGAAAAACAACTTATTTGCTGCTTTTTATCCCATGGCAGAAGTCAGCAGCCATATCGGCTTTCAGTTTTCAACAGCGTTAAGATGGTATGCATTTAATTAAAGAGTCATTCGCATCTTTATATGTTTATGAACATCACACTGAGCAGAAGTTCTGCAGTAAATTAACAAAAACCAAGATCCGAATCATACCGGGGATGCATCGTGCCTCGCAGGCGAATTTTGTCTGGAAGTTGTTGCCGTTTCCGTTACAGCCGCTGTAGTCGAACTTCTGGCAAGTCTTCGTATCGCTGTCGTAGCTCCAACGAGTAAAATTTCCACCGCAATTGCCCTTGTCTAACGGGTGGTGACATACATCCATAGGCAGCTCTGAAAATTACGTAGGTCATACTTACTACCTGCGCATACCCATACATAGGAAAGGAATGCTTGTCACCGTTGGAATGTCGGTTTTCCTTCACATTCATGGATAGGATAATTTTGCGGCAGTTTTTTCAAGAATATGATGGTGCGGTGGTGGTCTATATTTCCATGCCATCAGCCAGGACTGCCTTGTTTAAAGGCAAAATTTACAGCCGCGAGGAAAGCGTTTCGCGCAGTGTCCTATTTCCTTCCCACAGAGTGGAACCACTTATCAACTTGAGAAGGAAGAAGGCCGAGTGACCCTGACCGGAGTTTTAACTCAGGACCTATAGATTTTTAGATGGACGTTCAATTCACTGAGCAACCCTGGTATAAATCAATGCGTGATAAATTCATTGCTAAACGGAATTCATGAATAAGGCAAAAACTGCCCTCAAGAGGAAGAAATCCCTGAACCTTCGGTGTTCGAAGCATACCTCTTAAACAACCGCGCGAACACGCCGCCCATGCATATATCTACAACGCCAATCACATGTATCGGCATACGTACCACTGCAAGTCTTGAAACAGCCGTCTTCGCTCTCGAAGTTATTGCCGTTGCCTTTGCAGCCGCCATAGATGAATGGCAAGCACCTGCCGTGTTCCTTACTCCAGAACCTGAAGATCGACAATACTTTTTCATGGTTCGCTTTAGCACAAGTCAAAAGTAATATACATATTTTTGAAAAATATTGTTGTATCAAAGTTTCAGAAGCAACAGCTTAAAATGAGGAAAGCCAACACAGATGTTTCGATAAGATTTCACGGTAGTCTCAGAATTTCATATTGTGAAAAAGATCATACCCTGAAGATGATATTCAACAGATTACAGAATAATTTAAAATAAATCATATTCAATTTAAAAAAATTTAATTCGTTTTTCTATAGGAAAATGGACTTCAAAATCCAAAATTTT